CCCCAAAACCCCAAAACCCCAAAACCCCGGGAGTCAATACTCACAATTAAATATGTATTTAATAAAAAAGTGATAAAAACTATTTTGGTTAAATTATATTAGAATTGAGACAAGAAATTTTCTAAATTAATCATCTTTCATAGTTTTGACTAAAATACTAATTCTGAAAGATTTCTTTTTGTAGATTCTCACTACCAATCCTCTATTGGTAATCTTTTGTTAACAGATCACTTATTACTTCTTAGAAGTCATGAGTAGTAATAGGCTCCTCTGGGAATATAACTGGGTATCTCTTGATTAGCATCTGCATTACTTTGCTATCTTTGTGAGCGAAAGGATGAAAGCCATATTGATACTCATACATCATCAAACCAATTGCCCAAGAACAGCCTGTAATATTTTGCAACTTATGCTCTAGCATCTCAGGTGATTAATATCTGATGTCTTCTACAGTAGGAATAAGATAGGAATATGTGGAGTCTCCGGCCTTCTTGAGATCTTGAAATGCAGACTCAGTAAAGATTATCTTAACTTGCTTACTATTTTCATTTATCAAGATATTCTCTGGCTAAAGCTTCTAAATTCGTAAGTTTCTATTCTCAAGGTCCTAGACTGCTTTAACTACATTACCAAATATTTGAGCCAAAACTGAGTTGTCAACTATTTCTAGTTCGTCAAATCTCTTTAATTATGAAGCTCTTCTTTGCAATATTTGAGTTAATGGTGTAAATCCTTGAGGGGGTTTTTCTAGAATAATTTAATCTATGTCTCCTCTCTTTTCCACTACTTAGACAATTTTAGTCACATGCTACGATTCATTGAAAGCCTGAAGAGTATGGTTATGAAAATAAAGTTGAACTTACGTCAATTTACTGATGACTAAGGGAGAAGGCATTTACATCTGTAATCTCTGAGATTAAAACTTAAGCTCCGTTGGTCTCAGCAACTTTGAAATTTGCTTAAAAATCCTCTAACTCGGGTACATTAGTTTGCAACTTCAAATTAACTTCTTGACTGTCTTATATTTCATAAGATTTAGCCTAATATTGATTAGTCTTGACAGTTTATTTTTGGCTTGGTATTTCTTGTAATTTTGCCTCTTCTTTTGATTATTTTTTATCCTTTCTTTTGCTTTTAGATGAATTTTAGGTAGTCTCAAATTCTTCTGAATTCTACTAAGTACTCTAAGCTTCATTTTACTATTTCGACTATTGATTAATAGTTTGCTTTCTCTTTTCAGAGTCACTCATCTTTGTTTCTTCAAACCAATTTGCGTTGTTCCTTACACTATCCTCGACTTATTTCTCAATGATATCTAGATTTTTTTCTTCGATTACGTATATCTTCTCTGGTCTTCTAAAAATACCTTTGGGTACTTCCTTCTTAATAGTTGCATAAGGCTTTAACTTAGTACTTGGCTTTAAAATGTAATTAAGCAATTTATATTAAAAGCTTACAACTTTATAGAAGAGTATTAGATGACCTTTATTCCTTAAAATTTTACGAATAGTAGCAAAAATGACATCTCTAAGATTCATGCTTTGATATCGATAATCATATTCACCTGAGATATGAATAATAAACTCAGAGCTAGTTGAATCTTCGCTGATAGTGAATCCATCAACCTTGAATAAGTCAATTTTACGATTTATCTCTATTGATTTTAGTTAGGGACAGTAATTCTTTTACTTTATTTAGTTAGATTGAAGAGATGCATATTTGTGATAAGTAATGTTCTTTATTGTTTCAAACCAAATCTGTTATACTTTTGCAAGGCACATGATAAATAAACCTCCTCTAAAATTATAATTAACATTAGAGTTGATGGGTTACCTTGTGGAGCGAGGATTGATCTTACAAATGTATCATCATTCAATTTTAGCAGATCTCTCTTATCTATTACTTCCATTTCAGATAATAAATTAAGCAAATAATTATTATAATAATCATCAATTTAATACATTCCAAACAATTACACTTAAATCATCTGACGTAGAAATGATCTTGTCATATGTTGGCCATTGAACTTCGTTGATAATTCCAACATGACCATAGGTCTGATCTTTGCTCCCCAATTGTATAACCTCTTTATTCTTTTTACAATCCCAAATATGTATCCTCTCGTCCTCAGATCCACTCAAGATAAAGTCATCATAGTATCCGAAGTTTGCTCTGACTAAATGAATTATTAAAAAAAGTATTTAAATTTTACCGTAAAACTCTTTTTGAGACTTATGACCACTAAATCGTTTAGGCAATGATTAATGAATGTTATACATATCATATAAGCTTATCACATTATCCATTGAGTTTATAAGCATTTGAGATTCCTTTATTACTATTGATATGTTGCCCTTTGAGCAATTATAGGGATCTCCTAACTTTTTGTGATAAAATTAACTATCAAGTTAGCATTCAAGCATTTTGCTGAGATTTTACTTTTTATTGAAATTCTACATTGTTGGACATGATCCAGCTGTACTTTATTTTAAATTGAAGTATTCAGGCGTCTCAAGCATTCGCAGGTCAAAGAAACTTATTTTATCAGAGTGAGACTCAATTGAAACTAGTTGAGTCTAACCATAAAAAGCTAGACCAGTTACTGAGGGTATCTAAAAGCTAGTATTTGGTTTTCTTACTGAACTTGTCCCAGCTACTTTCTAGAGTACGTATTATGAAAAAAAATGCTTTCCTATCAGACTAAAATGAGCAATCTTTTACTCTTTCATTCTCATATCATATAGGAAAATTTTACCATCTCTTCCTCCAGAAGCAATTAGGTTATAGTCTTCAGAATCACATTTTGCTAAGCATTTCACTGAAGACTCATGATCTTTGAGTTCTGAAATTTTATATTGAGTTTCAATATCAATCAGAGCGCAGGTTTGATCACCGCTAGCAGTCATAACAAATTTATCATTGTTCAGCCATATCAGATCAAATATTGGATTCTCATGGACCTTAAGCTGAACTAAGTGAATAAATAACATATAAAATATCCATACTTTCTGGGAATATGATTTGAGGATTATGCCTTTCTTCACTTAATCCATTGAATTCTAGGTTAGGATAACTTTGAGCACAAAATTCTAGGAATTATGCTTTTGTTCCCATTGAGTTAGAAGGTTCTTTCTGAGAATTACCTACGAATATGTTCCCATTCATAGTACCGGTGCAAAAGATAGATGGATTAACTTTTTAAGGCTTCACTGTCAAAGCAAATGATTTCACGATCATCCTCTTGTATGGAGGAACTAAGTCGCTCCTATCATTGATGATTTCAAATGACTTGCTTCTACCTAAAATTATTAGAGTGCAAAAATTACGAACATTAATGTTAGTAGTCTTTAAGTGATAACTAAGAGTTTCTTTAAAGAGAAACAATGTTTCTATCGTACATTTTGGTACGATTCCCGCTATATAAATCCATTAAATTTTATGAGATTTTGTATTTTCTTATCAGTTGATTAAAGAATACATACAACCTCGGGGTTTTGGGGTTTTGGGG